TTTTGGCTTTTATGCTGCTGCTGTTTCCCAATAATAATAATAATAATAATTACGTGTTGCAGTATTGCACATTTCCGTAAAACCCTGTCCATCTAAAAGAAAGGTCCCAAATATTTATCTAGACTAGATAACTCTCCTACCGTGACCTTTTTATTTCTAGACGCCTGAATGAAGTTGGTAATTAGGCACTTAAAATTACTCTGTGGAAGGATGATACCACACGTAATAATAATAATAATAATAATAATAATAATAATAATAATAATAATAATAGCGTATAATAGAAAAAGGCTCCAATAAACTCATTAAAGGGATTCCTGTTTGCCCATTCCTTAAAGAAATGAAAAATTGTACTAACAAGTACAACTCGCACATTACGAAGATCTTTATCTACATAAAATGTCTATGATCGTTGTTTTGTTTTCTTATACAAAGATTATCAGTGGAAAATGCCATGAAGCCATTTTTGACCTTAGATCTCTGGTTGGGTCACGGAAGGTAATGTGTATACAACAGAAATTATAATAATAATAATAATAATAATAATAACAACAACAACAACAATAAAAACAACACAGGTTAGATCTAAATGAAATTGAAAAGGTAGATAATTACTTCGACCTTACCAGAGAAATAAGAAAGTTGTGAGACATGAATGTGTTAGTCATACCAGGCGTTATCCGACCTCTAGGAATAGTTTCGAAGAGCCTGATGTAGGGGACGCTGAGAGAAGAGGAATTTAGACGATGGCATTGTTGAAAACAGCTGAAGTGCTGGTGTGAACATTCACTGAGTATCATAATAATAATAATAATAATTATTATTATTATTATTATTATTATTATTATTATAACAACAAAACCAGTAAAAATATAAAAAGACACATATATGTACTGTTTTCAGACATTATTTGCTTTAATTTAATTTGTTTGTTTAACATAAAAAAAACATTAAAATAATACATGTTATTCTACTTTCACAAGTGACTACATGGTAGATGATACTCAGCTTTTCTGCATATACATGTTTGTGTAGACATGATTATTAGAGGTGTTGATATGTGTGTTTTATGTTGTAGTTATATTTTGGTATAGGGTTTAATTTCTTTAAGAAAATATATGCTATTGTATGGTTTATTGTCATGAACGTTCTTTCGTGTTGAGTGTTTGGTTGATTTTGTTTAATGGCATATCAGCCTTTATAGGTTATTTAATGCCAAAATCTAAATATTTTGAATATAATTCTATGGCTTCAACTACAGAGAAAAAGTATTGTTGGTAATTTTACTATAAAAATGTAATTTTATACTTTCATAGTGTTTTTTTTGTTTTTTTTTTTTTGCTTGGGGAGTAATTATTTACCCATACCTGGGACCCTAACATGTGCTACCACCCTAAGAGTGGATCTGAGAACAAGAGTAATTAAGAGGTGGTTCCACGCTCGTCAAAAACTCCAATCTCCCGATCGGAGGCCTTACTGCCGGATGTAGTTTATTGTCATACCCAGAACTAGCAGACATAATTTAATTGTCGATAATCTTACGTGGTTTGTATGCTGTCAAAGTATAATATGGTGTCTATGTGAGTCAGTTGAATTGCCTGCCAGCTATCTTAGCTTCAACTAAATCTTCCATTTTTACATTAACATTTGGTTCCTTCTCTGCAGAAGTTATATTTAATTAACAATATATATTCAGGTACTGGCAGCTGTTACGGTCGACATTAGATAGAATGTTTGTATAAATCTCTCTTATACAGGCTTTCTCCATTCAGAATTTAAAGAACTTTAGAAAACGGTATTGTTATTCGCAAATTACTGAAGTATTGACGTTTGAGATTGGATAACATTGAAATATATCGAAGAAATCAAAAGTAGCGACAATATTCTGACAATATCTGTTTTGCAGATAATTAATTTTTTTAATATATTAGAGTTTCTAGTCGCAGACATCTATATTCAGTTGTATGACTTTGTTATCCTGGGTTTCATGCGATTATCAGACAAATAATCACAAAAGCGTGAAACCCAGGGTGACAAATTCATATCCATACAACTGAATATGTTAACTCTATCCCTGATATTGAACGCTTTCCAGTAAGTACCGCATATATATATATATATATATATATATATATGGCCTGACGATTGCGTCTAGCATGAAACAGACTGTCGCCTCTAAGTGTTGACTTCAATGAGGGTTTTATATTTATATATATATATATATATATATATCAATATTATAATATATACATATATATATATATATATATATATATATATATATATATATATATATATATTATTATTATTATTATTATTATTAATCGCTCTGATTTAAATTGAGCTCTCCGGATTTCATTCTCTCTGGGATTATCCACATGGATTAGCAAAATTTTCATTACTTCAATGAGCACTTTTTATATATATATATATATATATATATATATATATATATATATATATATATTATTATTATTAATCTGCATATACAAGATACATTATTATTAATCTGCATATACAATATTATTAATCTGTATATACAATATATATATATATATATATATATATATATATGAAGAAATATAGTCATAAAGTGTGCTATATTTATGGGATAAAGTGCTCAATATCAGAGATAGAGCGTGTGTAAATATAAAGTGAACATAGAAGTCAACACTCAGGGGTTTACAGGCTGTTTCATGCTAGGGTGGCCTGACAATTGCATCTAGCATGAAACAGACTGTCGCCTCTAAGTGTTGACTTCTATGTTATTTTATATATATATATATATATATATATATATATATATATATATATTATTATTATTAATCGCTCTGACTTAAAGTGAGCTCTCCGGATTTCATTCTCCCTGGGATTATCCATACGGATTACCAAGATTTTCATTACTTCGCGGTTTCTTATTTAAGAAAATGCACCCTCTGGATTCAAACCTAAGTCCAACTGACCAGGACACAACTTCGTTTGCTCCGATGTGCTTTGACCACTCGGCTACGAAGAACTCCATAATCAAGCAAGATTCTATTTACTTTTAGAGCGCACTTTACTTGCCCACATGATTATGAAGCTCTTCTTAGCTGGGTGCTCAAAGCACGTCGGATCTGGCGCCGACTTTTCTTGCAACGGAGGACGCAGGTTCAACTACTGTCGGAAGGCGCCTTTTCTTAAATTAATTTCTTAATTTCTATAATTTTCAGGTCGATAGACAAAACAAAATACAGTTGAAAATAAATAAATTAAACAAATAAAATACTGTTTGAAATAAACGCCGCGTCTACTCAAATAAGGCCATCCATTAAAAATAACCTCAAAAATATGTCGGATTATTAAATAAAATTCATTAATTCTTTATTATATATATATATATATATATATATATATAGAGAGAGAGAGAGAGAGAGAGAGAAAGGGAGGGAATGAGGGAGGGGGAGGAGAGTGAGAGAGAAAGAGAGAGAGGGAATGGTTGGTTCCCTGAATTGCTCCTGAATGTAGATGACATCTGCCATGCGCTGTCTTGTGGAAAATAAAATTTATCAGCGATGACCTCTCCACCATAAGTATGAAAGCGCTGCTGTTAGTTGCTAGTGTGATTTGATTGAATCGACTTGTTTTTGACCACCTGGATAAAATGTGATTGTGCTTAGGACTTAAAAGGTGTCATGTTAATAGACGAAGCGGTTGCTATTGTTAACCACTCATCTGTTCTGCTTCTTCGCAAAGAGCATCTCTTTCGCGACTCTACCAATTGTCACCTGGCCATTCTATGCGTCTTTTCCTATATTTTTGAAGATACAGCTAGATTCGTCTCCGTCGAAAATTAGCAGAATTTTCGACAATCTTTTCAAAAATCAGATCAGATCAAAAATGGAACATTGCTACAGCATCTGCGCAAAATTTCCAGCCTCGTCAGAGGTTAAAAGCGACCTTGTGGGTTATGATTTGTTTCCCACCCTGCAACCCCTTTCCCCACAGATGAAATGTTGCTAGCCCCTCGCTATTCTATCGCTATTACCATGGCAACTGCTCGGGCGAATTAAATTCCGTGATTCCACCCGTCTAGACCCTCACAGCTAGGGCCCGACATACTGGGCACATTGAGTCGAATCATTATCACAGACCCTTGAAACGATGTTCCTTCAATCACTACATTGTTAAACATTTTAAATTCTAGACTCAACCGTTGTCTATCCTACATATCCTCATAATATGCCGCCTCCTGCTTCCCCACTTTACACCCTTGCAAGAAAAGTATTTCAAAATAACTGTAGCCTTTAGCAGTTAATTTAGTAGTTTTTAACGAAACTACGAAAATACTAACTCGTTTGTTTACGCTTGCCCAAACTCCCACGTTCGTTGGATTCAATGTAATCAGAAATTACATTTTTTTTTTCTGTGTTCGTTCATTTCTAAATAAATTATATATCCCCGGAAATTAGAAAAATATCGGCGAAATGCAAAGAACATTGAACAAGAACAAACAAAAATTGGATAAGTTACTTATAATAAAAAAAAGAAAAAAAAAAAGAAACGGGAAATGTCTGCGGCCATATTTCCGTAGACTTTTCCCGCCAATGACAATCGTCTTCTTCAATGCGATCAAAGTCAGCAAGAAAATTGAAGATCTGGCAAGTAAATGCCGCCCAAGTTTATAAACAGACCTACATAGTGTCTATATTTGAAAACCACATCAACCAATTGATTTGCTTGCATATATATATATATATATATATATATATATATATATTGCTTGCATATATATATATATATATATATGCAAACAAATCAATATATATATATATATATATATATATATATATATATATATATATATATATATTTCGATTCGCTTGTCTTGTTTATATGGCTTGGTGCAGGAATGATAAGGCCGTTCGTAATAACATTGCAGAAGCATGTAATGTTTTGAGATAGTGCATGTTGCTATCTCTAGTTTTAGTTGCAATAGATTAGAATTCTATGACAAAAGTATGGATGCTGACAGCCGATACTATTTTCGGTATTTCTATTCAACTCGGATTGTTTTTCATGTTTGTACGTCAGCGGCGTTTATTCGTATCAAGCCAATCGTTTCAATGAATGACATATGCGTTTTATTTTTCTTCCTTTCTTTCTTTCTTTCTTTTACTTTTGTCATTTTCTTTTTCTTTCTTTCATGTTTTTTTATCTTTTTAGTCTTTTCACTATTTTATTTTTTTTACTTTTCTTCGTTTTTTTAATTTCCTCTTTTCCTTCTTTTTCTTTATTTTTCTTTCTTTTTTATTATTTTCTTTCTTTTATCATCATCTTTTTGTTTTGTTTATCGTTTTATTTTTGCTTCCATTTTTCTCCTTCTTCTTTATTTGTGTTCTTCTTTATTTTGTCATTGACTTTCTTTTCCTTTCCTTTTCATTGATTCTTAGTTTGTTCGTTTGGCTTTTCTTTTTTTTTCCCCCTTTTTTTTTCTACCTTCCTTTTCGTCATTTTATATTTCTTTCTCTCATTCCTTTTTCTTTCTTTTTTGTTCTTCTACCCTAAAGAGCGGGAAATCTAACTTCCCTGTTCTAATACTGATTTTCCTTGACCTACATATCGACCGAGAGGAAGGGTTCTCAATCAGGCTGGAATTCCTCAGGGGACAATTTTAGGGCTTCAGAGAGGATGGAAATGTCTTTTACTTTTTCACAAGCTTCTCATTGACTGCAATAGTCATCAGAATAGAATCGATTTAAATACCATAATCTTTTATTTTTTTTCATTTTGTTTATTGAAGTATGCTTCAATTTATGTAATTAATAATTAGTTATGAATTAAAACAAATTGGTGTACATGTATTCAATTTTAAAGATCCATCAACATTTCCTATTGCTATTAAATTTGTAAAACTTACCTATAAAAATACTCTACTAAGACATAAAGGGTTACTGGGTGTAGGAATATTAGAAAACTGAAACATCACCAAGGAGCAAAGAACAAAAGCAAGGTAAACAGGGGGACAATTGATAGAGATTGACATTGCATTTTTGAAGATTCAAAATGACTGGACATCATGGAACCGGAAGAGAGTTCCACAAGCGAGAAGTGTGAGAAAAAAACTGTTATTAAGGGAATTTATAGTTAGATCTAGCCAATTCAAGTTTAAATTGATGAAAGCTTGTAGCTAATCTAGTACTGCACTTAAATTCATAAAATCTAGGCACGATAGCCGAGAGATTAAAAAAAAAAAAATTTCCAGTAATACATATCTTATATACTGTACTTATGAACACTAATGGGTATTCCCAATCCTCATAAATAGTTTGGACACTATTGTAAGTGGAGGTAATATGCTGTTTAAGTAGCCCACCACTAAAAGTTGTTTACCTACTTCACGCCGCTGGCGAGTATTGTATCTTGTTTATCTTATAAAGCTTAACATTTCATTTCCAACCTCCGTTTTGGTTATTCCTCATTCAGTAACCGTTTCTAGGTTACAACATTAACAGAATGAGATAGATAGATAGATAGATAGATAGATAGATAGATAGATAGATAGATATTAAGTGTTATATACCGTACCTACGAACACTAATAGATATGTCCCAATCCTCATAAATACGGTGTTTACTCGTTCCCCAACGAGGACGAGATGTGACACAAGGTCTTTTTAAAATGGGGACCCGAGCGCGTGCACACGGACAGGGACAAAAATTGCCCACAGATCCCCGCAACCGTTGCGCTGGCCTCGGTGCGAGCACCGATCCCTCCCTCTGTTGCAGTGGGAGGGCGCAGCCTCGGACAGCTGTTCCCCAGAGCTGGGCACCTCTCAGTATAATTTTCGTCAGCTGCCCCTCTGTCTTTTGACGGAGAAACCCCTGAGCGCACCTTGCCCAAAGACAGAGACGCAACTGAGAGATGATAAATAATACGTACAAATTACTTTATAGTAATCTATACGCTAATCCTCATAAATCCGTTGGACACTATTGCAGGAAGAAGTAATATGCTGTATAAGTAGTCCACAACTAGCAGTGGTTTACCTACTTCACGCCGCTGGCGAGTAATGGATTTTGTTGATGTTATAAAGATTACCATTTCATTTCCAACCTCTGTTTTCATTATTTGTCATTCTGGGTTACAACAATATTCATATGCGTTGGACAATCTTTAAAACGCGTGGGTGACATTGTGACATATGGGGAAAAGGGTGTATTAGGCAAAAAGGGTCGATAACTACTGTTCTAGAGTCAGAAAATGGCAGCTTTGATGATAGATTTATCATGGATTCAATGCACGCTGTACAGTGTCTTGACTGGTGGGTTGAATGTCACTAGCGTGTAAATTGTGATCTAACCCCCGTAGTAATGTCCCCCTGAGCTGTGTAGCGACCATCCACGGCAATCACCAGCTGACATGTTCTTGCATCATCTGTGGATGCCTGCAGTTTCCGCCTACTACTACTCATCATTCAAATATTCCTGGTGTGTCTTTTGTCACTGTTTCTCTAAAATATATATAACTGCCGCCTATAGCCACTTCCATAAAGATATACAGGGTGGTCTGAAAGTCTTGTCACCAAAAAGTAATGAGAACAATAGAAGAACAAGTAATACATAGCACATGCACTGGATTCAATTTATTCACTCTCATTGACGCTGTCAGATATCGAGTTTGTATGAACGCCATCATTCTCATGGCATAAAATGATGCGGTGTCATGTCCTGTGTGATATTTTATGAAGCTGTGCTTTGATGATTGTTGTGAAGGCTCTCCAAACGGCGTCCTGATTGGTATTATGATATCGTTCATGTGAAGCATTCTCCTTGATAATATCCCACCGACGTGAGGTCTAGACCTCTGGGAGACCAATCGACTGGTACTGGAAGTTGTTACAATCCTTGTCCCATTATAATATGTGAGGAGTTACAAGACTTTTAGACAACACTGCACACACACACACACACACACACACACACACACACACACTTCTTGTTTTTAATCCGTAATTATTTCTTGTTTTTAATCCGTAATTATTTATATCCACTAAAATATTACGTTTAAGTAACAAATGCATACACGCACACACATATACACACACATTATGCTATGTAATATATAATCTCTTATAGTTTCCTCGCAGATCAAGAGACTTGAATCAACAGAGATATGGTTATATCGATGAATACTTAGAATACTATGGACAGAATATGTAAAAAACAAGGAAATCTTAACGAACATAAGAATTACAAGTAAAACTTGCATCATGTTGAGGCATAAATCATTTCTGTTTTCGTTTATAACTTTATTTAAAAAAATAAAGTACGATTCAATTGCATATTCTATAAAGTACGATGCAATTATATATTAAATAAAGTACCATTCAATTACATATTCAATAAAGTACGATTCAGTTACATATTCTCATAAAGTACCATTCAATTACATATTCAATAAAGTACGATTCAGTTACATATTCAATAAAGTACTGTTGTGATGATATAACCCAACTTCCCCATTCACGATAATGGACGGACTGGTTGCCGATTAAGTACGACCACAGCGGACCGTCAAGAGGTCTTCGTTTGTTAACACCTATAGAGGTTAGCATACTCCCGACTCTGTCTCTGTATTTGACACACCTACATCCGATTATAAACCTATTATTGAAACCCAACACTCGTGTTACTTTGTTTATTATATCTTGCACGAGATATAACAAGTACTATTCAATTACATATTCAATAAAGTAGAATTCAATTACGTATTCCCTAAAGTACGATTCAATTGCATGTTCAATAAAGTACTATTCAATTACATATTCAATCAAGTACGATTCAATTACATTATTGAACATTAACTCTAATAACTTATTTCCGCTTATCAGGCATTTCTTGGAAATCCTGTCAGTTTTCTTAGGAATCCTTTTTCTCTTGAATCTGGTGTTCATTAGAAAAAAAAATCTCCCCATCAAATTGATTTCCAATGATCAAAAAGATAATAATCGCTTTGGGTAGAATCAGGTGAAAATGGCAGGTTGGTTAAAATAGACCAATCGAGTTTCAAAATCGTTCCGCTATTATTCTGAACGAATGCTTATAAACGAGTGGCTTTTGAAAATAATCTTGCATTTCTAAAAGCAAACGAAACAGTTCTTAAATATCGGAACACATTGACAGAAACATAGTTCTAGCGAAGAATGCTGAGATCAAATAAAAATGCAACCAGTGAGGAAGTCTTAATGAAACTAGGAACAGCAAACAAACTTATACATACAATCAGTAACTGATATTAAATATCTGGGACACCTATTTAGGAAAGAAAGCCTAGAGAATTTAAGACTCACAGGACTTACTGAAGACCGGAGAAATAAGCGGATGTAACAAATAACTTATTTAACGAGGTCGTCCTAATGAGTTTCAGAAGAGAAACAAAGAAATTTCTTAGAGCAACAAAAGGATGGAAGTTGTGAAGAGACATAAGCGCCGATGTCCTTAAAGACTTGACACAAAAGATTGTATATATTTTTCTGACATAGGTTACCCTCTAAAAATTTAAAATTTCTCTAAATGTTAGAAAAAATTGTTTAAAAATTGGATGGACAAGAAAAAGTACAAAATGTTAATGGGTGGGGGATCAGCTGTTTCTTATAAGGAAACATTCGGTATTCATTAACAGTTAGCGTTACTGCCAGTTGTATTTTATAAAATATATTTCGTGAAGCAGCTTTTTCGGGTTAATTAGGCTTCTCAAGTCCATTATCTATTATTGCTCTTTCCGGAATTTTTAGACGTTTCCATCCTAACCTTTTGTTTAATGCAATGTGGAAGATCAGCACCATGAATATATCATTATATATGATTATTTTTTTCTGTTTAGTTACATGTGCTAACCATTTTAGTTCTTACCGTTGTTGAAAGTCTTCAAGTGATATTCTTTTTATATTTGGAAAAATGTCTTTGGAAAATTTGATTCTGTAGCACCAGTCTATAAAATCTGATGAAAAATTGCTTGTTAGAGGATTCATTCCCTGGAAGGCATAATAGTAATGTTAATATTAACAGTTTCCTTATAAGGAAATATTTGGCATTCAATGATCGAACAAGCATTGCTACATTCGGTTGAAATTTCTAGCTTTCTCTTAAAACATTTTTTTCTGGGAAATAGGTTTCTTAAGTCCACTTACTCTTCTCAAATATGCTGGGGAGTTTCCTTCCTAACCTTTTGTCTGATGTAGTGTGGAAGGTCAAAATCTTAATTAAGCAATCGCTTTCTCTTCGAGTTGCATGTGCTCTCCTTCTTAGTTGTTGCTGTTGTTGAACGTCCTCATATGATGTGGTTTCTGTTATTTAGTACAGTCCTTTGATTATGATTATGTACCGCCAATCCTCGAATTAGCCCGTAGTTCTCTCTAAGACCTACAGGCTTAATTCGATTGATGCCATTTTAATCATTGATCAGAGAAAGCTGTTGTTTGCAGCTGTCACTTATTTTTAACAAATCGTAAAATGAATGTTATCTGGAACGGCCACTCTTCTAGATCATTTTGCATTAATGCAGAA